CTACTGTAAGCATGAGAAAGAATAAATCCGAATACTGCGCTACCCAGCGGATCTACTCTTTTTTCGACATGACTAGATTTGTTTTAAGATCTTGCTAATTTTCTGGCATTTCATACAGAGCACTACTCCCAATTAATGTACGTTAGAATTGGCGTTGTGTCACACCCCATCTCAACTAGGCTGCGTTCATACTGATCCCGAACTTTGGGATCAATACAAACTGAGCCTTACCTTCGAGTGCTCCAACTAGTTGGGTCGTCCATCCATGGGTCGTCATTTTCTTTCTATGCCGCACTTCCGTTATAAATACAAAAAAGCCCATAACTTCCTACAGAAAAACTATTCGCAGATTACTGGCGTATTTGAGATCAGCGTTTTAAGCTCTCTCTGTTGGTATACATCACCTTCCAAACAAAATAGTATCGATAACTTTCTATACTTGTTTTCACAATATCGGGTTTCAAAAGTAAGAACTATACCAACAGTATGATTCCTTGGTTCTCCTCAAGAGTAGTTCCCGAGGAAGCTTCAAAAGAATCAGTGAAAAAATTAGCTTTGAATGATAGCTGAAAAATAGAACAGATAAAATAAGTTATTGTAACATATTCACAACTTTCCTTTGATACACTTACTTCCCAGATGTGCCTATGTTTGACATGTATCACATCTATTTTACAAACATCTAGCGAAAATCTTTCCATTATAATTTGTATGAGGCAAAAGCATACATGCGAATAGGTGAGCATAGTCCTTCGAGGATGAGGGGGTTTACAATGGTTGCAGCTTTGGGCTGAAAAGGCTTCGACCAAACGAAAAGCGCAAACCCCTACCGGATAGAGAAAGGGAGGGGAAGGAGGGGGGGGGGGGGGGGTAAAAAGGAGTATAGTGTACAATGATCTATGATGTGCGTATGAGAGTGTACTCGTGTATATAGTTCCGTCGAGGTATTTGGCGTTTTCAGCGGGTGAGGCCCATATGTTTGTTTATGGGTGTGAAAACCGTTTGTTGCACTTCTTACTATGTCGTAGAAAACTGTGGCATTTCTCGATAATCTTCATGCCCAGTTCTATGAGTAAAAAATTACGAGTAAACTCATAAGTAATTCATGGAAAGGAAACCCTTTTTATTTTTATTTTTTAGATTTTAACGTTTCAAGCCTACTCTGATGTTGTCACGATGTGAATAGGAGGATTGACAAGACGGGAAAATGGAAACTACCTCATTGCCACAACGGTGAAAGGGGGGAGAGGGGCGGGGGTAAGCATTTTATAGCGCTTTCAGGAAGAGAATTGTAACAACGCTTTGACTCCACCTGAGAACGCTTCTCGTGAAATGCTCTTTCTTCTTTCACCAGGCTTTTTATGTACAGGCAACATCTTCTTCCGAAAACCAAAAAAGAGGCGGTTTCGATGGCAGTCTTGGTTCTGTCTGCTCATCTAGAGCTACAAATTTTTCTAGATAGAAAGTTTGCAGATGCATAAAAATCACTTGCTGTACACCAAGCTTTTCAAACAAATAAACTCGGATCAACCACTTATATGTTAGGGTGTCCCATAACTTTCTAAGCTTTTACTACAACCGTCATCTCTTTATATTTTCCTTTAACTAATGTGGCTTGAGTGATCAATCGACAGAAAGCAAGCTCTATAAAGACTGTTATAAAGAATTAGGCTGTTATAAAGAATCCGCCCAATCGTATTTCACTGGAAGTTTGGGCTGAAATCCGATAGCAGTTGAAAACAAACTTTTTCTAGAAAAAAACGTATCTCCGCCCCAAAACGTCTTGAAAATTCCCCATTTATCCTAACGTATGCTTGATACATCGCAATTGATTGTGCTATTTCCGTAATCTTTCCACTACTAGAAAAAAAGAAAAAAAATGAGTGAACTAAAATGGCAAACCCCGCTCCTAGACATCCTGAGCTCGTCCCACGCACTTGATCATATAGCTCATACATAAAGAAGTACTACCATGTATTTGTAAACTTTGAAAGTGCCCCAGTTCTTGAAAAATGCTGATGTTCAGGGTAAAAACAACAAAAAAAATTATGGGACATCCTAATATAATATTTTGTGAGCGCAGAGCACAAGGCAATCCTGATCACATCTTTTTCTCTGGCGCTATTCATCTTTTTCTTCTCCATTTTTTTCTCTGTTATTCATCTCCCAGAGTTGTGAAAATTCATGAATGCCTGGAAATCGTCTTCATCCGTTCCAAACTGTAATTCTTGTACGCACATAATGTTATTTTTGTAAACAAAGAACAAGGTAGTTTTATTTCTAACTCATTTATTCTTCTTACAGGGAAAGGCAGGTCTAACTTAGGTCGGCCTTTTAGCAGCACATATAGTTGGAATCAGCTTGAAACGCTAATTTCAAATCTGCTTTCCGTAGCTGCGAAGCCTTACTCTGAAGCGAGTAATGTGTATTTTCTGAGCAAAGTTTGCATGTTGACCGACTTAGGCATGCTACGGTATCATCATCTAGGTAATGGTTCAAATGCATACTATATACTATCGCCAGATGAGTCAACATTTATTTCTATTTTCCACCACTTTTTGGGTAGATTTCATCTAAAGGCTCTTTCCATTTTCAGTTATATTTCAATGATACATACTAAAAAGCTCATAAGTCGCTTCAGAGCATTCGCAGCTAAGAACAGCATATTTTCAATCAGCGCTCCGAACTGATTCCAAATATTTGCATTCCAAAAGCCTGTTAAGTTAAGTGACTTTCCTTGTTAGATTTTCGCTGTCATTGTTTACATCCTCTTTTTGAAAAATCACAGTGGGCTGGAAACGTCAAAATCTTAAATGTAAGATTCAGTCCCGATGTGGTTTTCATAGCGCTTCCTATGATGCCTTATGAGTACGTTTGCCGAAAAAAGTGGTCATTTACATATGCGCAATTGTTGTTATGCCATTTAGAGATCCTACGCAAGCAACGCCTTAAACTTTACTTCCTGTTTCGCTAATGATGTCTGTTGTATTTGCAATAAATACACTTCTTGTCAGAGACATGCTCAACTTTTTTGCCTCATTATGACGCATGAGAGACTCGAAATCTAACGATGTTTATGGTCGTTAAATTTGTTCTCAATTGTGTTAAATTATAAGGCATGAAACTGAGATAAGAACAATGGAAGTATGAGTCTCATATGTCGTATGAAGCAACTTCATGAGCAGTCTTCTCCGTATTGTTTCCCAATCATGACTCGGCACAGCTGGGACCGGGTCAAACTGGATATCGAATTAGAACAAAAAAGCGAAGAGGTTATCGTTTTTGTGGCCGAAAAAACGCAAAAATTGTGACGTTTTCCTAGTCGACTTTTCTTCAAAGTTTTTCACTTTACGGGTAGTGTCAAAGGGGACTCCGTACGAAAGTTTCGAGATCAAAGGGCCTTTTCTTTTTGAAATTTCCCTGTTACCAGCTCATGCCGAGCTCTCCCAATCGTAGAGCTTGCAACGAAACTCAGTAGACTTCACTATCTGCAAATCCCTATTTACAAATACTTTCGAACACGTTTGTAAAGCCTCATGGATAAGCATTATGGACTACCAATCACTATTTAGCGGGACAGTCCTCGATGTTACAGCCTCTGATAAATTAACAGCAAAGACGCTTTTATCAACTTTACCTCACGGTAAAAAGAGTCGCCTTGCCACAGGATCAATGAAAGAAAATGAGCAGTTTCTCACATCACACACCTATGGACAGAAGCAATAAGTCAATACTTTTCTGTGCTGTGATCAAACCAAGTGTGGTCCAGGTCCATATCGGCTGGCTACTCTGTCTCGAGTGTTTTACGTTACTCTCACTTCGTTTCGTTCGACCCACTTGGAAGGCTGTTCATGATTCTAATTGCGCCGATATACCGACATAAAATGCTAAAAGTTTAAGATTTCGCATAAAAATTCCTTCTTTTTATGTAGTTTTGAGGGTACCAAAGTCGTTCCGTTCGCGATACAATCGCAACGAACAAACACTGACTTTAAAACACATAGCAACACTGACTGCCCTCGTAATAGCCATTATCCATGCTGTATGCACATAGGAACACTGACTGCCCTCGAAATAGCACTAACTATAATGTACAGGTATCAACTTCAATGTCAGGTGCACCAGCATCTCTGTTCCCGCACGGTCGCTTCGCCTGGACTCTGCAGCTCTCTATTCGCGAGCGTGCTTTCTGATCATTTTGCTACCGCGACGTTGGGGAAGGCGGAGTTTTAATCGACTGGACATGGCTAGAGAGCATTCGTAGAGGAGTTGCAGAGTCTTGCGCTGGGGTGAAGTTGCTGATGACACACGACACTCCATTTGATAAGCCGTGTAACCTTTGATACAACTGGCTTGGCGGCTGGAATGCGGGGTTTTGTGACCTGCTTAAGGTCGCACGCGCCCGCTAAGCAGTCTGCGTCTCTTCGCGCGCGTGATCTCTGATCATTATTTAGCCTTAATTAGGTCACAAGCTTTGCGTTCCAGCTGCCAAGCCAGTAGAGCTATGTGAAACTGACCTGCATGAGGAGAAGTCTGAAGATTTTAGTATGTCTTTCTTTCGAGTTTTCGTCGATCATCATACCAATCTTAGAGCTGATAGATTTTGCACTATATATCATAGATGCAAATGCGCACAAGAGTAGAGCTACTAGAATGGACAGAAGCGGAGCAAAAAAAGTGTTTTCCTAAAATTTCCAACTTGTTGTCTTGGACCATAGCAGCTACAATTACCCTGGAAGAATAAATTGCTGGCCGCCGACGCAGCGGATGTCCGTGCATGCCGTTGGATGTGCAACTGGAAATCCATACGGTATATGCGAATACAGAAGTCCAAAGCATAGAAAGTAGAAGCGGAATCCCGCAAAAGGCATGAAACATTATTCCCTCTATTACATACATCCTGTAATGCGGAGTTAAAATCTGAAGCAGAATTGAGTTTAGATTCGACTAGCAATGAGAAGCATTTATGTTCGATGCATTAGCTTGCTGGAATACGGACATCAAACGTACCGACACAACATAAGGCATTTTACTCCAAGTAAAAAGGCAGATATGAGTGCAGAGTATAAAACGAAAAACACGAAGATACAGAGAGCAACACGGCCAAGATCTTGATGTTGAAGTATTCCATTGCTAATAATAAGCAGTTCCCTTGCATGTATATGCACCATCTGAAAATGGTTGATGGAATTGAGTATCATATTAAAAATGAGATTCAGTTAGTGAAAGCAAAGTTGCTGATATGGTTTTTTATACTGACCAGGTGCTCCATGTTTCACAAAAATTCTCAAATAATATCTCCCTTTCCTTCCTCCTTGTTTCAATGTCATTCTGCCGATCACAGCCAATCGTTTGATGCAGGAAAGCCCCCCCCCCCCCCCGCAGAGAATGGGTCGCGAAATTTTTGAAGTTTACTTGCATGGGTTATAAAAATGTGCAAGTGACTTGTTCAATCTTGTAAATGACAAAAATAATTTTTATTCTTTGAAAATTCATTCTAGATTTCAGGGAATATGGGCCGTCAAAAATTTTGAGAAGCACGATAAAATTTTCGGAGTTAGTAGACTGTAGGAAAAAAAGAAAAACTTCTGCGCTTGATCCATAACAATTACAGCTCACTTTCGGTCCACTTCTGTTATATTTCTGGATTATCAGAAGAAATGGGATCCAAGATTTGCCGAAATATGGGTAAAGTTCAGGAATTACTTGACGGATTGCGAACACACACATGGATCCAGAGTTAGGAGCTGTCGCCGACGTTTGAAACCGATTAAGAAGCCTTTCATTATTACCAACTATCGGGGAGGATGTCGAGGCCACTAGCGAGGTGAACTTGGTGAAAGCTAGAAAATGTTGCTAAGTGACTGTTGAACGTTCAGCAACACGCTGACATGCTAGCCAATTAGTTTTCTAATAGAAAGGCCTTCAATACCCATTTGACAAATTAACAATTTTTTTTGAAATATGTAATATGCGTATGTGGACACACCGGACACGACAGCGCATGAGTGACTGAGAATGCGATGGCCGTACAAGAAGTGTAAGTCATCATTGGAGCATTGGACATAAGTCTGAGACTGTCGCTAGGTTTTCTTGCTACGAACAGCACCTTGAATTGAAGCATTGTTTCCTCTAGTTGGTCAGTTTTCGTACAATTTTCTCAAGACGAAAATTCACTTACTGCCATATTCATGACTATGGACAAGGCTGCGGTACAGAAACAATTGATATGCGCCAGCCTGATTTCCCCGTCTGATTCTGGTACCTAAAAATCTTCTTTCCGGGAGGCTTGTTGGAAATGAGAGAAGAAACCTGCTCCAGATTTTGCGCTTCTGCAACTTCTGTCATCGAAGATGCACAAGATGAACTACCATCAGATACCTAAGGAAAACATGTCGTTAAGGAATAAAAACCCTTCGGGTTCCAAATCCGCTCTCGCATTTCTCAAGAGGAAAGCGATTTTAGTGACTCCAACCCCTCAGCATTGGATGTATATAAAAATGCTCGTTCCGAGACGTTGATCTCAAGGGCATGCTCGTATGCGAAACAATCTTTCATAAAAATTTCAAAAGCCTTCGTTTGAAGGTGGAGAAAAGTGACTCAAGTACGGCAGTTATAACAATCCAAGGCATCAATTTCCTTCACGTTAATCGTAACAACGTTTTTTCATTGTGCTTTATTTAAACTGTTTGAAAATTCTTGAAAAATTGTCATTGATATTAGCATATTTGGAAAGACTGCTACACAACTTCCAGTTTTTTTTAAACTTTTTTTGAACTGCTTATTTCACAATGACGCTGTATGCTGGATGTTCTACCGTAACCCCACCGTGACGTAGACAGATGGTTGATTGCCTCATACCTGAAATTTGAGTCAAGCCTGCTCTACTAAATGGTTTTTGAAGCCAAGCAGAAAACTTTGAAGGAAGAGTTATTAACAATTGAAAGTGTGCGCTTACTTTTGGGACACCCTATATGGATGATGTGCTCAATAAGTTGTTGAAAGCAAAATTAGCGATGACAACAGTTACTGAACTCGTGATATACTCAACAAAGCAGTAAGCTGTGAGTTAGAAACAACACCGAATAAGAAATTGTGTTTGATTATCACCTCCTAACAAAAAAAAAGTCGGACAAACAGATTTTGCAGAATATTTGCAAAGTAAGACATGTCTATGTAAAGCTCCTTTCTGCATTGTGCGCTCATTATGCCAAAGGCAATGAGAAAAAAATACTGAAACAAACGCTAATAAGGTTGAGATCTGTGCTGCGACAGATAAAAAATAGCTAAACCTAAACGTAGCCCATCCTATCTAAACATTTTCCAGTGCTTTATTATAAAAGTGCCATATGTACGTATACAGTAAATCTACTCTCCAATGTTTGCTGAAGATCAAAGTGAGTTTCAGCAAACTTTGGAAAGTAGATTTCATTTAGTTGCGCTATAGAAACTGCAAAAGCTTTGCTTTTTACCTCGCAAGAACAAGTTAGCAAAAATGATGACTATAACGGCAGCTATATATTCTCAGCACCATGATTTTAGCCAAAACTTTAGCATAATAGACTTGATACAGGAATCTTTCATGTCATATTTGGAATATATTAGGTTGATGCCCGAAAACAAAACAATGGCCGTTTTGCAAATACTTACTTTGACGTGCTAAAACTTTCAGAAAAATGTGCACAATCTTGAGCGCGGTAACGATCACTAAAAGCAGCAATCCTTCTGCAACACAAAGCACTTTACTTGTACTCGCACCACACGGGCAGAAAAATATGGATTTAAAAACAAGATAGATCTCTTTTCAAATCTTGTTTTTGACAATTCATAACTTCAATCAAAGTTTGTTATTATGAATGATAAGAGTCCTATCTTGCAGATGCAAGCCAGTACTACAAAATACGATGAAAAAAGATTAGACAGAAAATTTTGCGAGAGAGAAAAAACCAAAATTCAAAATTGTTAGTTTTCTCAACATTTTTTTCAGTTCTGCATACTAAACAGCTGGATACTGATTGCAAAAACTGCTGATAGAATGCCCTATTCTCATGCTTTAGAACTGAGCTGGCGATTGACTTCTCCAAAAGAAACTTATGGGTGGGTCATATAATGACCGCAACGGCTACCCATGTTTAGGCGCTGATATCCCAGTCTAGATAACTTCAAAGTATAAGTTAAACATGCATATCGTAGACAATTTTCATGACTTAAAATAGCTTAATTTTCGAAGAATTGCCATTTCGTATGCTACGGACAGAAAAGTGAATGCAGAGAAATTCGGAATTTGGATGCGGTTATTTGAAGCTTAGTAACTTTAGAACAGATGAGAACGAGGACCCTTTTCAGCCACCATTAGATAGAGCATGAAAACAATTTCTCAATGCTACATCCACTCCAAAAAAGACATCTTGAGTGGAAAATGTTGCCCGAAAAACGGCTTGGAAAATGGCCATTACTTTGCATCAACCTAATAAAATATTATCTTTGAATAAAAATTGCTGCCGTTGTGGATGTGGCATACGTTGTACGAAATATCATTACATTGCTTAGGTAACAAAATCATAGTCGCTTTTGATTGCATCGCAAAGGAAATTGTAAGCAGGCATTTATTTTTTAATTTGAAAGTGAAATATGCCTTTCAATTGCTTGGCGTGGCATTGCAACGATGAATCTCCAAAAATTGCCGTGAGGGTTTTATTCTATAGAGCAAAACAAGCTCTACAAGATTGAGGTCATATTTTCGAAAGAAAACGATGTCGTTCTTGTGCTATATGTGCTGCCAAAGCCGTGTGAACACCAAAACAAAGCGAATGGGTTACCATTTGATATAACAAAGCAAGCTCTACAAAATGATTGTTGTCGAATAGTGGCACCAAGTTCTATATGAGCTGGAGAGTTTCGAATACTCGAAAAGGAAAAACTCTTCACATCATAAATTCATACGCATAGTTGTTGTATTTATTCCAAGGCTAAAAATCGAAAAAAACGATAATTCTCACTTTCTTCCATTGCGAGGCTGAGCTATCCCATACAAGTAAATCTATATTACTATTCTTTGCGAGCAAAACTATATTTTTCAGCCTTCTACAAAAGTTACTTTTCGAAAATATCAAATTTAACATTAAAGGTGCGAACAAAAGCTAGTTATAATTTTCCAGATTTCTCTTCTCCTGTCCAGGAGCTAGTTCAAAGGATATTGATATTAGACTCTTCTTCTAGGCTTCAGCAATAAATTTGATACTCCTAGAGATCTGCTCTTCTAGAAGAACTGAAAAGCCGCGGTCATACGTACAAAGATTAGTAGCTGAAATTACTTGTGTGGGAGGAACCAGTACCCGCTACAGCTGGAATTGGTAAGCTGGATTTTGTTTCTGGGGAAAAAGCAAAATTATTGTCTTTGCGGGATCTGGAATGGACTGTCGGAAAATTTCTAGAAAAGTAGAATGAATTCATGACATATGCTAGACTGAGAGCTAATACTAAACATATTAGGTTAGTAACGTACATATCCGTACATTCGATACAAATTGGATCAAATCCAAATCGAGTTAGATTCGAGAGATACTCGTCGCATGCAATCACGCTCCCTTTATGCCGCTTTTCGCTTGTGGCCAGTCTCTTGCGCTTGCCACTGCTTGTACCCTATTTTCAGGTGTATAAGCCGCGGGATGGTCCCAACTTGCATCGACCAGTCCGAACACATCAAAGAACTTCGCAGCCAAAGGATCATACACCGTGCTGCGTATTGCCTGAAAGAATCGTGCGGCATAAGGATCGTTTCTCGAAACACAATGAAGCGGCTGAGCAGATCGTGGGAAAATTTGAAAAAGTGCGGCTTATACAACTGAAAATAGGGTACATTGGTGGAATGTTCTCGATATCAAATTCGATCCCATTCTAGCTTATGAACTTGCTAATACGAAGCTTATGAAAGTAAGACTAAAATGGATCATATTGGTGAGTTCTATGGTGCTCAGTCGACAAAATTTAAGCGCGGCTAGGTATGCCAGCAGGTACATATACTAGGTTGGCTCGAAAGTTCTGGGACATTTTTAGACGAGATCTGCTATTTCTCGAAACTCAGTGCATGTAAATCCGACAGAGATATCATTAACTAGAGCAAAGCAAGCTCTACAAGAGGGTGCGCAAAAGTTCGCACCAGCTTCGACCCAGCGTAAGTTTGTATCCAGAATCTGAGTATACTAAAGGCTCGAAAATTGGAAAAAATTCGTATCTTCGTTTAAATAAATCCTAACCTCCAAGTTGCTCACGCAAATTACACACCACATCAGAAACCCATATGTATCATTGCTGTATTTTTTCCTCATCTATAAATCGAGAAAACGTAAATTTTCATGTTTATACAAAAAGGAAGCTACTTTGTTTCCACTTATGTTATTGTATAGTACAAACCTTTAGAAGAATAAGCGTAAATTTTCAGCTTTCTACAGGCCCTAGTTTCCGAAAATTACCGAATTGAACTCTTCACGCTCTTCCATGCTAAAATCAATATTTTTCGAAAACTAGGGCCCATAGAAAGCTGAAAATCTACAGTTATACTTCTAAGGGCTTATACTATACAATCACATTAGTGGTGACAACGTAGCTTCGTTTTTGTATAAACATCAAAATTTACGTTTTCTCGATTTCTAAATGAGGAAGAAATACAGCAATGATACATATGGGTTTCTGATGTGGTGTGTGATTTGCACGAGCAACTTGGAGATCTGTAGGATTTATTGGAACAAAGATATGAATTTCTCCCAATTTTCGAGCCTTCAGTACAACTCAGATTTTGGATGCAAACGTACGCTGGGTCGAAGCTGGTGCGAACTTATGCAGACCCTCTTGTAGAGCTTGCTTTGCTCTATCGAATGGTACCTCTGTTGGATGTACATGTTTTGATTTTCGAGAAATAGCAGATCTCGTCTAAAAATGTCTCAGAACTTTCGAGCCAACCTAATAGTTATCTTTGTTGCGATTATGAAGCACATTCCAAGATCGCTAACGTTTGTTTGCACGTTCTCAGGTTATTTTCATCCAAATATAGAAGTCAATGGTCTTCAAAGACTTTTATTTCTGAATAGAGTTAAGTTTGATATTTTTGTTACACAAACAATGCTCTCCATAATTGATAGAAACAAAGTATTCATCATCATGATATATTCGAGATTTTCTAAAAATTATTTTTGAACCACAGACATCTTGCTATATTGATGCAGTCCACGGGAGGTTTAGGTTGTCAACTTCAAGATCCAAACTGTCGTTGACTTGTGTTAATAAGCGACGAGCATATCTGTATCTAGGATTGGAGCGTGGATCTATGTGTTGTTATCTGCGTTGTTTTGCTTCGACGTCTACGCGAGCAACAGCATTTCGTAAATCGGTCTTTCACATTCCAGTAAACCATGATGGGCACAAGTGCTGGGTACCTGAACTCAATCAGTTTTCCTACGAGCGGAATTCTACGAATCATCCTTCAAGCATTCCTACCAAGCGTACACCACAGCTATGTTATCAGAAATAATCTCCGGCAACCACTTCTCCAAGGAAAATGAAATTAGTATGGGCAGATGTAGAAACAAGAATGGCAGAGAAGTCTGCAAAAAGAATATCGTTGAATTCAACGGACCGCTGTTTGAATACTGTATTGCGTTTTAACTTATTTCTAAGAACAAATCAAGAACGTTTTGGAGAGAGTTGCTAGCGTGTCTGCCTGCTTCGAAAAAGGACGTCAAGCAGGAGCTCAGACTCACCTAGAAGAACTCAGCAACCGCTGTACGTTAGAGAATATTCGCTAAAGCCAAGTGGTGATGCCGCGAGCAATCGCCGCATAATTAGTGGTTAGTCGCAATCAACTGGTGAATGAGCACATTCCAACATTTTTGAACAAGATCTTCTGACATTTTTGAGCAAGATTTGAAGATTCGCCTAAGTCGTAACAGCGATAAAACTTGGAGCCAAAGTCAAGATTTTTCATCTATCCTCAAAATCGGATATTCAGAAAATTTCTACGAAACTCCAATCTGGTCACTATACAGCAGACACATAGCACCCTAATTTCACGAGTATAGGACGCACCTTTTTGACTTTCTGAGCGAGCCGTTCAGCCGTCTCGCTCCACTTCTGTAAATAAGACTTATGACGCATAACACTCTCAGACGATATGCAGCACTGTATGTAGTTTTTTGGTCCCGAAGTCCTTCGGCTTGTCTGTGCTGTTCGATTATTAAAAACTCGCGTCCCATACTCGTGAAATTAGAGTAGTACCAAAAATGCACTCGATGCATGTTTTCTAGGTCTCAAAATTAAGAAATAAGGGCAACTCAAAAGTGCAAAAATGTCGCTTTCGGTTTTTTAAACGTTAAACTGGTTTTCAATTACGAAAGCACATACAGATCTAAAATTTCAATCTTATACTTACTAAAGCTTGCAGTATACAACCATATATGTGGGCGGAACTGGGGCGGATTTTGCCATTTTTGGACTACCTTCTTTTCTTGCTTTGTATGCATGGGAAAGATCCAGCGAATGCATTATTGAGCACTACTGGGTGTTTACATCATAACGACCAAGTTAGAAGTCCGTAGGACTTTTCATCGCAAAAATCTATTAGGTTGGTGCAGAAGTTTTGTCAGTTTTTTTCAATCCATCGGCAAACACACTAAAATGAAGATAAACAAACACTTCAACATGTATCCGATGCAGGATTTCTTCGTCTTTCCAGCAGCTGAACTCCCATTGTGTTTCGTTGTGAGAGTAACGAAATATTTGCTGCAAATTACAACCACTCGTTTTTACCATGTCCAACTTTCGCTAATTTTCAAAATTTTTGTATGAGACTTTCGAAGGAGCCCTAATAACCAGCAGATAGGGCAAACCTTTTGCCAACAGAAGCAATTTTTTTCTTTTTTTCAGCTGCTTTTTCAGATTTTTGCTAAATAATTTTCTAAAAGTCTTGTGTTGTGGGATAATCGCATAAACTGTTATTGCACCAAACACTGCAAAACCTACAGAATACTAAGGTTTCAACACTCGATTATTACTACCGCTACCATTACAAAGTGAATGAGCGATTTTCGCTTCAAATTATGAAGGTTTCGAAACATAGGTTACGTCAGTGCGCACACACCGAAATTGAGAAATACTGCGATCTTCCCCACGAATTTTGCTTGTCTCGACAAAAAAGACAAGTGTTAGAAAGAGGAGAAAAATCTGCATTGAATGGTGACTGAAATGTTTAACATTCCATGTTCTACGAGGTTAAAATAGGCTGAATGTAAAATTTGGTCACTTCAAAAAATAAATCGTAGAGATTCTAAAAGACAAGCTGTAGGGCTAAAAAAATTGCTTCTGTTGGCAAAAGGTTTGTTCTATCTGCTGGTTATAAAGGCTCCTTCGAAAGTCTCATACAAAAATTTTGAAAATTAGCGAAAGTTGGACATGGTAAAAACGAGTGGTTGTAATTTCCAGCAAATATCTCGTCAATCTTGGAACAGAACCCAATGAGAGTTCTGCTGTTGGAAAAAGGAAAAAATTCTGCATCGAATACATTTTAAAGACTTTGTTTATCTTCATTCTAGCGTAATTGCCGATGGATTGAAAAAACTGACAAAACTTTTGCACCGACCTAATATTTTCAACTGATAAATTTTTTTTGATTTTGGCTCAAATTATACCTGAATTACTACTGATTCTTTGGTGGTTATGTAGAGCTTGCTTCGCTCTATCAAATATTACCCTAAGTCTGCCAGGAAACAAAAACGGCTTGATTTACCTCAAAAAGCGTTTACTTTCAATCAACCTAGCAGCAGCGAGCGAAAAGACAAATTTTAGGATTTTTCTACAATTAAGGAAACTGCAGAGTTAGGGTTGTTTCACTTTTCGAGATTGGCTGTGAACTCCTGAATTTCTGATTTTCTGAATTACTAGTAGAGCCCGGAAGAGCCAAGAGAGTATTTTGGCTGTGGCTCAGCACTGACAACCGAGAGGAACTTTTGCCACAGTTTTACTCGAAAATTCTGCAACCATAGACGCGATCATGATTTGATAAAGCTTTGATTGCTTTTTTCAACTGAAAAAAGATTCAATTGCTTATCAAAACCAGTTCTCATTTATGTACGGACGTAAAGTAATAATTGAGGAATGTACTCAGCGATTGACAGCTACGCTAACGTTAATTCTATGCCTGAGGGTCATTTTAAATTGCAAATTAGCAGCTGCGACGAACGCAGTGTGAAGAGACCTGATCAAAGTGTAAGTGAGCCTGTTTGGACTGTCTCTCCTTTGTTTTATTTTTTTTAGTTCTACACGGATACTGTAATATTATACATGTAACGAGCAGTAAAGACGGCAGTGAAGGTTGAAACTTCAGCGCTCAAAATTGCATCGATGAGTACGATCAAAAATGACTTTTCTGATGTAAGTCCAATCATACGACTGCAAAAATCAACTCTCGCGAACTGACCTGCATGAGGAGAAGCCTGAAAATCCTAGTGTGCCTTTTTTTAGAATTTTCGTCGGTCATTATAGCTATTCTGGAGCTGATGCATTTTGCACTATACATCATGCATACGAACGCGCATAGAAGTAGGACAACTAGGACTGTTAGTAGCGGCCTTAGTAAGGCGCTTTCCTGAATTGTGAAATTTGACTATTAGATTAAAAAGCTGTAGGGAATACCCTGGCAGAATAAATAGCTGGTCGCCCACGCAATGGATGTTCATGGTTCTCATTTGAAGTGTAGTTTGAAAACCATGCGGTAGATGCGAATAACATTGTCCACACTAGGGAAATTAATAGCGGAATGCAGCAAAAACCATGAAATTTCGTGCCTTCCAATCTCCGTAACCTGAAAAGAAATGTTGGGTTGAATAAGACTCAGTTCTCAGCATTAAGCCCATTTTGGATAAGCGTATGTTTTTCGATTGAAATGAGTTACTGCAAGAGTCGATAGCCATTAGAATGACAGAGCGAAGGTGATTTTCATTCCTTTTCCAACTACCTCAAGCTGACTTATACAAGAGAGATATTGCCATGAAAGCTGATACTAATACTGAGAAGATTGTACGATCACTTGCATTTTGCTGCTGAACTGTAAATTTTGTTTACTACACGAAGTTTTATAAGGTTTTAGTTTGATAGATAAGTGAAGAGATGATCTGTAGAAATTATAAAGGTTAGTTGGAGAAATTCCGTGGGAGCGTTGCACTTGAAAATTCTGCTCTATCTGCAGATTAAACAATTTTCAAATTCTGGAATATAAGCTCTTAAAACTAGTTTTTTATACGATTGACATGAAAGTTGGCGATTGCATGAGCAGTGAACTGAATTCAAAAACAGGAGAGGAATAGAAAAGCGCCAATTACTGTTGTGAGTGTATCTCCATCGACATTCCTTGCGATCTATAGACAGATAGACTCAAAAAATAAATCTAGAGATTTGAGAAGTAGATTTCATTTCATGACTGTTGATTTAACAAGGAGTGAATGCCGTTGTACCCCTTCCCCGACGAGCAGTAGCCGAAGCTTTCAAATTTTCAGCTTTGCTTTTAAAAGAACCAGTAACCGTTTTCATTTACATTCTAGCCTTTATTAACCGAAGGATGATTGTTACAATACTCAAGATCTCTGCTATATATTTTTTCGTATTTTCAAAGCTCTGGGACTGCGCGGCGTACGCTGAGAGCGCACATGAAGTGGATGCTGCGTAAGCTAGGCAGACGACAATGCTCACACCTCAGGCGGGGCCGTTTCACAGGCCAAAAAAATTGGAATCGGGTTACGACGCCATCACCGTGCCGGAGCAGGCGTTGGCAGCGCTCTCCGTTTGAACTGCGCCTCTTTGTTGGAATTTTCGACCCAAAAAAGGACTTCAAGTTAGCACAAGCAATGTTGACCCTAACACACTTGAATCGCATATTCAAAGCTTCTTTTGAATATATTTTTCTCTGTGGACCGACTGCGAGCACCACAGCCAAGCTATATTGCCTAATTTGGATAATACAAAGTTTGACCATATGAGCGCAAATTGCGTTTGCAAATTTACTCTTTACCAAACAATTTCGGGCATGAGATGTAAACGGTAATTTTAAAAGAACATCCACCGCCTGAAGCTTTGAAACTGCACATACCGACATATCATCAGATATTTGACAGCAAGCAGAGCAGCAGATATAAGTGCTGAGTATAAAACAAAAAATACGAAAATACAAAGAACAACTCGACCAAGATACTGATGTTGAAGTAAACCATTGTTAATTATAAGCAACTCTTTCGCATGTATATGTATCATCTAAAAAGCGATTGATAAAAAGAAATAGTAGAATATTATACATGGCGCAATGCTACTGGAAGAGAACAGAAGACTACACGCTGACACAAATTTATTCATTTGCTGGTAAGATGGAGATTCATATCTTAACCTTACCAAAGACACCCCATTGAACATATTATCTTTGTTATCAACCTATCGAATAGCCCTTTTTTCGGCAAAATCTGAACATTTTAAGGTTTTTTCCCTCATGCGGCAAGCCTACCATGACCATGAATGCGATGGCAAAAATCTGCCAGCAATTGCTGTCTAGCTTACAACACGTTTAGTACTGAAAATTCAATTTCACGAAATAATCAAAAACTTCTCATTGCTTACGGCTTGCGTTATGAAGAGATAGTTTGCAAAGTGTGATTACTTATGTTTGTGATACTAGTACACTTGAATGTAGCTTTTCTCACACCTTTCATTCTCTACGATCACTGGTTGAAAAACAATTCTAAGCAAGAAGAGAATCTAAAAGGATGAAAGAGTTGCTACACACGGGTAACAGTTATGAACACCATAAAATTGATAGCTTGATATGTTTGCACATATCTCAGTTGATCTTTTATCCAATTGTGTATGTGAAAGCTATTTTGGTAATGAAGGCGTTACGGCCTTTGAAAACGTGGAGAGCAGTGGCGGACCGAGGGGGGGGGGCCGGGGGGGGGGGGGCGCGCCCCAGTACTCTGCGTTGATACCACTGCTT